AGTAGGGTGGTGGGTCTCCTATGGCTTTATTGGAGGGACCATGCGCTCCTTAATGGGGTTGAAGGACTTGCCCCCTGCTGAGTGGCATTTGAAATGTGTGGCATTTCTGCTTTTGTGATAAGTATTGTAAAGTGCTGTTTGTTAGCTTTAAAAGAAGGAGAAGAAATCCTTTCAAAATCCCAGCTTCCCCATGGGGAGCTTCAATTTGTTTTATCTTTGAAGACTTGTGTCTCACTGTCCAGCACATTGCTAGTGTGCGGACGTTTACTTCTGGAACACTCGTGGTGGTGGTGTTGACGTCTAGCCAGTGATCCAGAAGAGACTAGCAAGCATTAGAGAATGCGGGCCTCCTTACATAAAGACCTAAGCCTTCTATTATAGGAATATAGGTTTCTTCCCCTGAGGTCTAGAAGCAAAGTTTTATGTTTGCTAATAATTGGGCTGTGGAGCTGCACACCAAGCAACCCATTTTTAACACTGTTTTTTTTTTTTTTTTTTTTAATCACACATTCACTTTTGCATTTGTTTGTGTGTGAAACAAACAAGGCTCAACACTAGATCTAGGACCTTGTAGGAGGTGCTGGGGATACTGTAATGAGTTGGACCCTGCCCCTGCTCAAACTGGAATGGCAGGAAAAGCCTGCAGGTTGGAGGGAATGTGAAGTAGTGGCTCACCTTGTGCCCTTATGCAGACACTGGCTTGGATCGCAGCTTTCTTTGTGACCCTTTGGCTTTCCAAGCTGATGGTTTCATTGAAACTATTGCAGCTCAATGGGCATACCTGTGCTCCAATAAAACTTTATTAATAACAACAAAAAGACAGGTAGAACAGATTTGGCCCATGGGCTGCAGTTTGCTGGCTATTGGAGTCAAACCTTGTTTGAGAAGGTTCCTATGGGTTTTCTATGTTAAGAAACGTAGCTGTGGCCAGACATGGTGGTGCAGTCCTGTGACCCCAGCACTCAGGAGGCTGAGGCAGGAAGATTACTACAAGTTGGAAGCCTTTTTTGGGTTACATAGTAAGTTCAAGGCCAACCTGTACTTCATAGTGAATGCTATATCAAAAATAACAACACCAAAAAAAAAAAAAAAAAAAACCTATATATGGCATACTGTTTGATTAGCCGAAAGTCTATGATGTTAGAAGCTAGTTTTAAAGAATGCAAGTTGCTAAGCAACAGTTGTATCATGTTTGTAACCAGTTTTATTTCTAACTTTCTGGTATTTGGGCATTCTTTCCTCCACTGACTCTGTGCTGACTCATACTCTCCTCCCTCACTGATCACACATATTGTATGTGCTTGCATCATGGTTTAAGTGCCTGCTTTGATGGGTATCATCAGTATTGTAAGGAGTTGGATAGAAGATAGCCTGAGAGCGTGGATCAGGGCGTCACATCCTGGCAGCTGCTAGGGCGGGGTGTGGGAAAGGGGGTTGCCATTCCCAGAGGCTTCTCTGAGATGCCTGCTGGTACCTCAACAAAGACAGGAGGGTTAGACATGTGTTAGAGAGGTAGAGGGACAGGTGTTTGTGACCATGTGATACCATCAGGTAATGACATACCAGGATTTCAGGAGAAGTGGCAGGCAAAGCTAGATAGCCAGGTGGCATGCACCTGGACTACCCAGGAATCTGGCCCCCACTCAAAATATAGAAAGGGTAACACAGCAGGATGGGAAGGACAGGACATCTGACCTTGGTTCAAGCCTATTTCCTTCTCTGTTGTCTTAATTGTTTTCATTCTGGATCTGAATCATGGACCATACCCAGCAAAGTAGAAGGCTACGGGTACCAGACATTCACTCCCTAGTGGGAGGTTAAGGACCCATGATGGGACACTGGCCAGGGGGCCTCAGGAGACTGTCAAACAAGAAAGATGGAGATTCAAGGTCCCCCTGGCCCTTTAGTCCAGCAGCCTAGCTGTCACTTTCCTGGAACTTTGCTAACATCATGCCAGGCAACCCATGAGCAAAGAAGCTTGGCTGCCGCTTGGTGTATGTTCCCCTATTCTCCTTCCTATCCAGAGCCCAGGGACACCTTTTGGTTCCCCTGGGTAGCATCCCAGTCTTGGCATGCTTCTGTTCCTCTTGGGCACAGGGGAGAAACGCAATGAAGCCAGAGCCACTCTCTGACCAGCACTAACCCTGTAGCAGCTTCAGTGGCCAATAGCACACTGCAATCACATGGCACCGTGATGCTCAGGTGATTCCCAGTGCATGGGAAGCCCTAGACCCCCACAAATGCGTCCAGTGTCAGCAAGGCAGATAGCCACACCAAACATGTCGGGCATAGCAGCTGGGCAGCAGACCAGGAGAGCTCTCCAGAGCCCCAACACTCAAAACCCCAGCCTTCTTTCAAGGAAGATATGAGAAAGGTGAGCTAAAGGGCGAGAGGTAGCAGAGAAAAGAAGTGGCAGACCCAATACGATTATGGACTAGTGGACTCTTTTAGAATATTTTGCTGTTAACACACCTATAATATTCAAATAATGGAACTTAACCAAAAAAGGGAATACAAATGAATGTCCATTTTGTATCAGTGTATTCAAAATGGTTAGGATAGATATATAGTTGCATTCTCTTAATGAATAGAGGGATTTGTTCTAATAGTGTTTGTAAATAGAATATCATGTCTGCATCTTGTACAGCAAATAACCACAGGAAAAGAGTATGCAGTGTGTTAATTATTGAAACTGTCTTACCAATTTGATTTGAAACTGTCTCATTGCTATCTGTTTCTCAATAAAATTATGGGGAAAAAAAAGAAATGTCTTTGCAAAGGTAAACAAGAGTCCACCTGGGGGGCTTGGAGCATACATTAAGCTTGCCAGGCACCTGGTTCCCCTCACTCAAGTGCAGAGAAGCTACGAGATGATAAGCACGGGAGTGGCTCCTGCTGCAGAGTCCAGGACACTGGGTGAGCTAAGGAGGGGCTGGAGCAGCTCCAGGGCACTCTCCCCTCTGCCTCCAGCCGCTCAGCCTGTGTGGCATCTTCACCCCACGGTCCAGTTTGGCTGTCTTGCTTTTCTTGAATCCGCAGCTGCTGTTTACCTACTCTGGCCTCCAGACCTTTCTCCACTGTTTTCAGCCAGCTTCTCACATTTTATTTTAATGTCCCTTTTCTAACTGAGGTGAAATTCACATAATATAAAACTCACCATTTTAAAGAGCACAGTTTACAAGTTAGTACATCCATCACCTCTTTCCAGTTCTAAAGCATTTTCGTCACCCTAAAATGAGGTCTAATGCCTGATAGCCACTCCCCACCCTTTCCTCTTTCTACCCCTGGCAGCCAGGGCTCTGCATACTGTCTCTGTGGAAGAAACCCTATGGATATCTCATAAAGAGAATTGTATTGCGCGTAGCCTTCAGGCTCTGGCTTCTTTGGCTCAGCAGCGTTTTGAACTCCATCCATGTGAGGGCCTGTGTCAGTGAGCTGCTCTTCTCTATGGCCAAAAGATGTTCTCTTGTGCTGGTAGTGTAGACTACAACATGTACATCAGTGTCCAGCAGACATGTGGCTGTGACCACCTTCTGGCTGTGGACATACATGTACCAAAGTTTGCTCATGGCCCTGTTTTCAGTTCTGGACCTATACTAGATGTAGAAAAGCAAGGATATATGGTGCAGTCTGCATCTTGTCCATTGAAGAGCCATCAACTACTTTCCTCATTTTAGTTTTAAGTGTTTAGAGCTCTGCACTTCACCTTCTGTATTCTTCAGGAAGCAGCCACTAGCATGTGTGTTTACTGTCCCCTCCCCTGCTCTGCAGTTTTCCAAGGTCATCTTGAATTCTCAGGCCTCCTGCCATGACTTGGCTACCTGCCAACTTGGTTTCCTCTACAAACTTAATGAGCTTGATTCCTGTTCTGTCATTTAAGTCATTTATGAGGTGTCAAATGCCAGAGCCCTGGCTGCTCTCAGCTGGACCTCAGCTTGTTTGGCCCCACAGACTCTGCATGTGTTCCCTGGGTCCCCAGTACCGTGCAGCTATACCAGGTACATAATCTGAGTAAAAGAAGTCTCAGGGCCCTCTGACTGGCCTGAGAACACTGTCTCTTGCACTGTCTGGCTGGCATAGGCTGGGTGGCATCAGCAAGGTGGAGGCAGGGTGGGGTCATATTGGTGCAGGCAGAAGGAAAATCCACATTGGGCAGGTGTGTTTCAGTAACTGGGAAGCACCAGGCAGAGTGAAATGTGAGACTGGGGACAGGAGTCTGAAAGCGAAAATGTCTTCTGAGCTGATGGATAGGCATGGAGTTCACAGAAGAGGATAAAAGGAATAAAACCAGCAAAAGAGAACATCTGACAGATCCCAGGGTTTGGGAGAAATAGTCTCCAGGGCCACAGAGAGGGCCTCCCAGAGAGCTTCGATGGAAGACTGGGACAAACTAGGTCACTCTTCTTGGGTCAGCTCTGCACGCAGGCACAGAAGTCTACCGAGCATAGCTCCGAGGGCAGAAGCTTTGTGCTTCTGTGTATGAGAGCTTCCTTATCCATGGCCACCTTATCTGTGGCCCGTGAGGGATATTGGCACTTGAATTTGAGGCAGAGTGTATTGGGGCACATCTGGTGAGAGAATATGTTCCTGGGTCAGTGCGTGGAGGAAGAAGCCCTGAAAGAAGACCACATGCGCCCAGGGCTTGTCCTATGTGGGATGCTGGCTGAGTCTCTCTGGTTCTAAGTCCTTACTTGTCAAGTGAGACAAAGGACAAGACAGGATGGGTGGTCTTCCCCATTGCCAGCAGTCTGTGAGCTGCAGAGACACCCTCAGATCCCACTTTCATACAGCCCAATTCTTGCCTGTGAGATTTGAACTAAAACCCACTCAGACTAGGTGGTGGAAAGAACAAGAACCTGTATCTCCAAGGCACAGAAAGGTATGTGCAGGTCGGAGCTTGTCTAGGTGTGGAGGCAAAGGTAGCTCTGTCCAGACAGGTGCACCAGGGAAGCCTCAGTCTCTGCAGTGTATCCATCCAGCCTCAGGCTCCCTCTCCATAGGTCGGTGCCATCGGTGATGAAGAGGAGTGGGTCTGCCTCTACGAGGAGGAAAATGAGCCTGATGCCCAGATGCTGGAAATCCCAAACCTCACACCGTACACCCACTACAGGTGAGAACATCTTGAGCAGGTAGTTTCTTCAACAAGAACAAACCCAGTTGTACATATAAAGCAGAAGTGCCCAAAAAGGCAATAAATAGTAAACCACAACTGAAGGAGCAGTCAGAACATACAGTTGAATTTGACCGTGTTATTTCCACCAATACTATAGGACAGGGTATCCTATAGAAAGGGCTCCCCATTGTATTCAGCCTAAGAACCAAGAATGCTGTGGAGAGGTGGCACTCTGCTGAGCTCTCCAACCTCTTGGGGCCATTGACATGCTGTGTGCAAACAAAGCAGATGTCCTAGGAATATCCTTCTGCCTCCCTCTGCCAGGACCCAGGCAGTGCTAGTCTCACCAATCAAGCACTTAACATGCCATTTAACCTTTTGCTTCTTGATCCTGAAACTTATCCAAGCAGTAAATCCTTGGCCTTAACAAAGGGTAAAGTGATCATGAGCCGTTAGTGATGTTATAACTTCCCGTAAGAGCGTTGAAGGAGATGAAATTTCCAGTTATCACCAGATGTTGAGTTTGATAATGTCATTGTTCTGCCAGGATGGATACATTTCATGAGATCAGGGAATGAAAGAATAAGAATTACTAATTCAGGGAGTAAAAGGTGAAATTACATCTCATGAAGCACATTTTCTCAGTACAATATCAAAGTTAGGGTTTAAAAAAACCTAATAAGAGGCACGTTTTAGCATGTATTCATTTTAACATCTTTTCTAAGTTTAATAGCAGATGAATCAAGATGTAGTACACTCATTTTTAGAGAAAAACGTTAGCTCAAAATGAGCTGCTGGGATTCAAGACTTGCCATGTTAATTAGCCAAAGCTATATAATTATTCCAAAAATCAGAAACTGTGATTAGAGATCAATGTCCCTGTCTTAAATTCATATAAACTTGGAGAACCTTTGTAATAAATACGCGCATCAGCGCTTGAGATTTTTATTATATATAAATTCAATCCAAATAATTATAGATATAAATAAAACATATGAAAGAGGAAAAGCATTAGTACATGCCTGCCTCCCTCTCATCTTGTAGAGAAAGAAACAGAGAGGTTTGATTTGCTGATAGTCTGGGATACCAGGGGAGCATTCTGGCTGATACTGTTCCCACAGAGAGTAGGTAAGGGATGCTCTTGGTCACTAACAAGACTGGGCTTCAAACTGTTCTTTGGTAGCAGCATTGTAACATTTGCTTTTATTGACTAGCACTCAAACCTTAATCCCTGGCCCTAGGATAAGAAAGACTAGGACCAGCCAATGGCAGCCAATGACATGGGCAGCCATCTGCCCCGTCCAGTTATGCTTCACTTGGGAATTTAACCTCTTTGAGTTGAAGAGACTTACCATGCTTTAAGGTGGTTCAGGAAAAGGGCCAGACATGAAATTTGCATTTTTAATGAAATCAGGAGTAAAGAGTATATCCTTGAGCCATGGCCTTTGTGATATAGGTAGATACATGCCTGAGTCCTGCCATGAGAAGCAGCCTTGGGTAGAGTATTGTACGTTATTACCTTTTGCTTTGGGGTAACTTTTGTCAATGGCTTCTCCTCTAGATTTCGAATGCGCCAGGTAAACATCGTTGGTTCCAGCCCCTTCAGTCAGTCATCCCGGGTCATCCAAACCCTGCAGGCCCCACCTGATGTGGCTCCCACCAGCATCACAGTGCGGACAGCCAGTGAAACCAGCCTTCGGCTACGCTGGGTGGTGAGTTAGGGGCTGGAGGTGGGGCTGTGGGGCCGTGTCCTGAACAGGCCATGGCTTGCCAGGAAACTTGGAGCTTAGCAATTCCTTAATCATGTCTTTTCTTTGTCTAAACTAATCCATTGCTAAGCCCAAAAATATTACATGTTACAATTTTAGTGCAAGATCTACAGCAGTCCAAGATGTCACATGAATTACCAGCATCACTTACTCTCTTCTTAGTCCAGTGGCTGCTCCTTAAGAATTGCAGACCAAACCACACACTGACCTATAAGTCTTTAAGCTCAGTCAACATGGAACCAATACTTGGTAGTATTTGTAAGAGAGCCAGCCTACTGTCTAATCAGAACATTTTCCACAAAATTAAGCCAAATGTGTTAAAAGAAATTATGTCCAGCCCATTACTAACAGGATTTTGTTTAATTAGCAGAAGAAAAGTTTGAAAAAAAAAAAATAGAACAGAAAGGTCTAAGGATATTCCCCCCAAAAGATGCTTTTGGTGAAATTGTCTTGAAAAGACAGGTTTGTCCTTTAAGACCTTGAAAAGTGGTAGTGTCAAGGTATCAGCTCTTCATAGACTGTCATTTATTTCTAGCCTCTGCCTGATTCCCAGTACAATGGGAACCCTGAGTCCGTGGGTTACCGAGTGAAATACTGGCGCTCAGACCTCCCATCCTCTGCACTGGCCCAAGTCGTCAATGACCGGCTGGAGAGGGAGCTCACTATCGAGGAGCTGGAAGAGTGGACAGAATATGAGCTGCAGATGCAGGCCTTCAATGCCATTGGGGCAGGACCCTGGAGTGAGGTGGTACGTGGCCGGACACGAGAGTCAGGTGAGAGGAGGGTGGGGCAGGTCCCAGAGACATGGCCTCCCAATGGAGATAGGGCATGATAATCCTAAGTTCTCAAGTCTCAAGCCAATGGCATCTTATTGGCATATCTACTTGTGTCTTTGTTGGCATACTTCATACCCGCTGGTTAGGCCAGGCATGCCCACCACTGAACCCTGGTTAGGCCAGGCATGCCTACCCTTAGCTCTTGTTAGACCATCTTCAAGAGAAGTTTAGGTGAAACTTCATTGGAGCACCAAGTCATCTGTTTAGAGGTGGTAATGAATTCTGACAGGCTAGACGCATTACGACTTTTTAAGTTCGGGATAATATCGCTGTCAGTGTTCAACAGGAAGCATACATACAGATCCAGTGGGGAAATCTAACCTGTAGTGTGTTCAGGCTCTCCCCTTCAGAAATCAGTATACATAGTTTGTTCAGTGATTTGCTGAAGTAACATGTGGATCCCCAAAAGATCAATTGATTTAACACAATAAAAGTTGATTTCTCAATCTTAGTGCAGTCAGAGGTGGGTGTCTTGGTGGGTAGGTGGGTGGGCCTCTTCCAAGAAGCAACTCAAAGACCCAGACTTTGCTATTACCATTGAGGCTGGTCATCATTTCTTCCCAGAGAAAAGGAAAAAGAGCAGGAAGGGGCACATGTCCCTCTGAAAACCTATTTTTAAAAAAATGTCCTGGTCATCTTACCCTTCTCTTTAGCCTTGCTTGGTTGCGGGATACTGCTGATTGCTAGAGAGAAAACAAGTGCTTTGGTCAACACCAAGTAGTCTGTGCCATAGTATGCTGATGACGTGTACGTCCCCTAGTCTTCTGAGCTTTACAGAAGTACATTAGCCAGCCTCAGCATCTCTACAATTTTCATTGGTACAAACCCAATAGAAAGGGTACAGCACACACTGCGCAAAGACTGTGACAGGACCAGCTTTCTGCCCAGTCCACATCAGCCAGGTAGTCTAACAAGAAAGGGGCTCATTGTCTTTTCCCACCCTTGACAGATGTCACAGCACGGACTTGACACATTGAGGAGTTGTTCATTGTAGACTGACTGAAGCTGTGAGGAAGAGCTCTTAGAATACACCCTAACATATGTCCATACTGGGTGAGGGAAAGGTATGAATGATATCAGAAGTCCAAGGTGAAGACCCAGGCTTGTCTCCTCCCACAAGAAGTCTTCACCCATTTTTCTAATTGTCATCAAATACTTCTCTTTGGTAACTGTGTTAAGCCTCACTGTAGCTCTGTTAGAGACCCAGGGGTGTTTCTTGAGCTCTGTGTGAGATTCCTTCCTGGAGGCTCCAAGGAGACACATCAGAGAGGTTGCCCTGGGACCCAAGGAAGGACAGAAGGTAGGTAAGAAACAGTGATGCTGTCCATGGCCATCTCCACCCAGTGTGCTAGAAAAGTCCCAGACATACTTTCCAGCAGAACCTCCCTATTCCTCTGCTCATGCCAGCACACCATGGGAGGAAGTCCCCCTGTGGTGGCAGGAATGAATCAAATAGCAAAATTAATTAATTAAAAATTTAAACATTGAAAACTGTCTTAGGAGATACTTAGAATTCAGGGTGACTCTGACAAGAAATGTTTAGAAGGATAAGTTAGGAAGGCCAAGTGCATGCCAATGCCTTGAAGAAAGGTCTAATCAACTAAGTAGAGGAAGCTAGAGACTTGGTGGGCATGCATCTCCTGGCATGGCTAGAGGTGGCTTTGGAGCATGCATCCTCAGGTTGAAGCCATTGGAGGAAGAGACAGATGCCTGGGAGCTCACTGTTTCCAGTATTGGCCTGCCCCAGTGCTGAAGAGGAAAACAAAAACACCTGGGAACTGCTGCCATGGTGGCAGTGAGGTGTACTAGGAGAGCCAGAGTGAGGAGGTAGCCTGCCTGATGAACAAGTACCTCTGGCACCCTGCTGGCCAGACTGGCCCTGAGCTCTCCGCTACTTGTTACCAGTGCCTGCTGAGCACTGTGTGGCTTTACCAGGTTGCTCATGTATCAAATACTGACCCCTTACCTCCGGGGCCTGTCTCAAGTAAGGGTACCAGTGGGGCTCCACACAGCTACTTAGTGTAAGGACAAAGGCTATTCCCTTATGTCACTCTGTGGATATGGCTCAGGGAGCACCAGGCGAAGTTTCTCATCTCGTCCTCTTTGCTTCCTTCTGCCAATAACAGACACTAGCAAGGTCAGGTATGACCCTGCAATCTTAGGGATACTCAGGTTTCTAAGGCACCCAGGTTGCTATTTCCAAGCCAAAGCCCTCACGACGTTTATGGCTTCATTTCTTTCTCATCTTCTCCTGGGGAGTGGTAAGATAAGTGGAAGAGCCACTCAACAGAGCAGGGAGACATGGAATTATTGTCAGGTGGGGACACTCTCAGCATCACGTGAACCTTGCAACCCACTAACATGATAACTGAAGAGTCACTGGCACGGTGGCCAGCAGCCCTCGGGAGGAAACGTGCTCAGAGAGGGGTCTGCTGCAGCCAGGCAAGACTCACTTCCCACCACAGATCTTCGTTGGTCAGAGAAAGAACACTGAGGTGTGCTGATACATGGCTTATGACTATGACCATGTGGGGCTTTTAAAAAGCTCCATTATCTTTAAGTCCTGGTTCTTTATGACAAAGAAAAGAACTTGAGAAATTTTAAGTTGCAGTTCTAAATCCAGTAATAGGCAGAATTATCAAATTCTTTTAAAATAAATTTTTTGCTCTTTCCATTTAGAAAGCTATAGGTAAAATATAATTCTTCTGAAAATTTAAATGCATTGATGTGCTTGGAAGGAAATCAGTGAAATCACCCAATGAGTGCAGCAGAGAGGGAGCTGAAGCCTGAGAAGCGAGGCCGGCAAGGGAAGGTGGGGAAGCCAGTCTGTCCCCAGCCTGTAAGGACTTGCGATTTATTGCTCATGCAGCGCAAGAGGGTCACCTCCCAGTCCAGGGTGTGGGGCTGTGGTTCTGAACTCCCATGAGAAGACCAAGTCCTTCCACAGGGGGTTAAAAGTCCCTGCCCACAGAGGCTGCCTGGCTGCCTCGACTGTGGCTGGGGCAATTGTCTCCAAGTCCTGTGCCTGACTCAAGTTTGAATTCTGGGTGTAACCTCAATGAATTGTCCTAGAAACTTCCAGAAGAGAAATAATGAAAAATTTAGTTTGAGACAAAAAGCATAAGCAAAAAAATTGAAAAACTAGACAAATCAGGGTTCATCAGAATGAAAATTTTGTGTTTCATACAATACCATACAGAAAATGGAAAAAGGAAATGTTTTCACATCATGTATCTTACAAGGGGCTTGTATCTAGAATACATAAAGACTTCTTACTTCACAATGAAAAGACAAATGATTCAATTAAAAATCAGGCAAATGCCTGAATAGACATTTCCTCAGAGGAGACAGACAAATGGCTAATAAACACAAGAAAAGATGCTCAGCATTATTAGCCATTAAGGAAATGCAAATCAAAACCATAATAAAGTATCACTTCATACCCCTAAGATGGCTTAAGCAGAAAAAAATGGACAATAGCAAGTGTTGGTGAGCATGTAGAGAAATTGGAGCTTTACAAGCAACTGAAGGAAATATAAAATGGAGCAGCCACTTTGGAAAGTAGCTGATGATCCCCGAAAGAAAAGCATAAAGTTCCCATACAGCACCACAGTTTCACCACTAGGGAGAAGGCATGATAAAAAATTATAGTTCATTTAAATTTTGTTTTTAAAGTGGTTATAGTAAAAGACATACTTCTATTAATCTCCCTCAAAATATTTCCTCTCACTTCAAAAGTACTTAGCCTATCATTCTTGCCACTTTCTCAAGCAGTTCTAGAAGTCATCCTTCATAACGGTCTTCAGCAGTGCTACCGTGGCTGCCTTGATGTCCTCAGTTGATCCAGAATGTTTGCCATGCGTGGTCATTCTGACTGTGGGGAAGAACTAGAGGAGGCACAGTGCCCAAGCCTGTGGCTAAGGTGGATGAAGGCACAGCATGGTGTTTTCATTTGGCAGAAACTGCTATCAATACTTTGAATTGGTTCGGTACATCCAGGCCACCATAAAAAGACACACAGAAGAGGGTATTGGGCTTCTCTTGGGGGTGATGATATGGTCTAAAGTTCTTTATAGTAATGAGTACACAGCTCTGTGAATAGTATACCATGAGTAGGTGAATTCTATGGTAGATGAATTTATACCACACAAAAGCTATTTTCTGAGGACAGTCTCAGCCGTCTATAGATTAATTTTATTCAGATTAAATGTTACTAAAATAAGTTTCTTCATGGCTAGCCAGATAGCTCAGCGGATTAAAGCACCTGCTTAGGCAGACACAGGGACTGAGGGTTTGCTCTCCAGCGTGTCATGCTGGCCCCACCCCTGGGGTGCACTGACATAGCAATTGAGACTGGGCGAGGTGGCGCATGCCTATAATCCCAGCATTTGGGAGGCTGAAAACAGGAGAATCACTATGAGTCCAATCTGTGTAGCATGACCCTGTAGACCCTGTACTAAATACATAAAAATAATTTTGAAAAGTTGCTTCATAGATAGTGCATTGGTCAGACACCCTGATTATCCTCACTGCCCACCCATATCTCGTCACCCTTAGGGGAAACATCAACCCTCCTGAAATAGCTATGTGTTACGCCCCAGTAGAGGACTGTCTTCTTCTCTAAAATAGATTAAAACAGAGCTGGGGAGATGGCTCAGCAGTCTTAAGTGCCTACCGGACAAGTGTAAGGACCCGGGTTCGATCCCTGGTACCACATGCCATGCTTGCCTGGAACCTGGCCACCAAAACTGGCCATGGTGATGCATGCCTGTAATCCCAGTGCTGGGGAGGCTGAGACAGGAGGCTCACTGTGAGTGCAAGCTGCAGAGTGAGAACCTGTACCAAACAAACAAATATATAAATAAATAATTTTCTAAAATAAAAAATAGGGGCCGGGGAGATGGCTCAGTAGAATAAGCGCTTGCCTGGCAAGCACA